ACAGACCGTTTTCACAACTTCCAAAGTCGAGTTCGCCAGCAAACGTAAGTACATAACACTAGATATTAACGGCAAACGTATTCGTCTTCAGTTGGATACGGCATCAGATATCACCGTAATTTCCCGAACTACGTGGCGCAAACTTGGTTGCCCACAGATTCTGCCGACCGAGCATGTCGCCAAGAATGTCTCTGGAGATATACTGAAACTCGTGGGTGAGATAAATTGCCAGGTTCAGTTTGGTGAGCATCACTTCAATGGTGTATGTTACGTTACAAACTACCATGATTTGAATTTGCTTGGTCTTGACTGGTTAGACAAGCTCCATATCTTTAATGTACCATTAAATTCAGTATGCTCTAATGTTTCGTCTTCACCACACAACGTTGTTCCCGGAGATGTATCTGATCAATCTCTCTTGCAACGCCGTCGTCAAAAGCACGCTTCTGTCTTCCAGGACAAACTTGGTTGCTGCAAACTGTTTGGCATCCAGCATATTCGTAGCCCCCCGTATCATCCCCAATCGAATGGACAGACTGAACGTTTCGTCGACACCTTTAAGCGTGCTTATGCAAAAGCGAAGGGGGAGGGAACAACAGAAGAAATTTTGGATAAATTCTTGCTGCATTATCGTACGAATGAAAAAGGACAGTTATGTGTCAGACACACAGATCACGCTCTATCCAGTACCACGCAAAGGTCAACTCGACAAAGAAGAGCTCCGAAACCTTTTCAAATAGATCCAAAAAGCAAGTCCTACACTCTTTACGGGGAGAGGTGATAGGATCCCACATATTTTGGTATTGACTGTTTAATCTTGCATATATGGTATGTTATCATTCTCACACATTTTGGTATTTACTGTATATATGGTATATTATCATTCTCACACATTTTGGTAGTGACTGCTAATCTTGTATATATGGTATATTATCATTCCCACACATTTTGTTACTGACTGTCAATCTCGCACATATGGTATATTATCATCTCTCACGCACTTTGTTATTGGCTATTAAGATAAATTATTTCAAATGCTGTTAGCTGTCCATATTGTTGTAAAATGTATAAATACCATGGCTTTCTTTGTCGTTGTTGCACTTCAATACACAGTCACAGTCCAGCCTTTGTCTTTTGATATTTGCGTGCTTTACTAAATCGGAAGGTACGACAAGCAGATAGGCAGATTAGTTCAGGCGCAGACAGAGCAAGGTGAAAACGTCTTCATTCAATTCCCTACAGTTATAACACCCCCTCCCTATCAGCCCCACACTAACCCTCCTGAACTCTGCATCATAATGTGTATAAATTCATTGTGTTGTTCTATCTTGTATCTATATATCTCTCTAGTCCATTCTTGATTCCAGGTGAAATCTAAACTCTACCCACCCCTTTTCTAATTACACGACGTACGCATAATTACTCCTTCACCAGTGAATAAATCGTCTACTGACATTATTTTCGTGATCAGGTTGTTTTTTTCGCTGTCTATCTATAACTCTAAATCATTGAGAAAGGCATTGTTTAACTCAGAGCTGATTTATTCAGGAGATGCAGTCAGTTGACGAGAGTCCAGGACATGAGATGAGCTGGTATTATTCTGGTCGGAAGTCTGTTCGTTCATATTTTAATGAGTGTGCGTCGGTGGCACAGCGGTGAGGACTCTCGCCGATCATGCACATGGTACGGGGTTTGATCTTTTGCCGACGCACACCTGATATCTATGGTCAGCCTGCCAAATTCGGGCTACCGATATCACATGCTGAAAATTCCATACCTGTACCATAAATACGGTGTGGAATCAGGCTGTAATAAAATAAAGTAATGATAATGGGATGGGGTTGTATGACATTTGGATAGCGTGTTTACAATACAAATTTTATGTTAAAAATGTGGTCTATTTGTGAAATATCCATTTCTACTTTTGTCAAATATTTGAGTTCCTATCTGCAGGTAAATGACATAACTCTCTTTCTCTGCTTTTCAACGAGAAATATTTGTTGTTCTGGTTGCGTTCTCTGATGTCTTTCCTTCATTATGGCCACGCGGGCAGTAAAAGTTTAGCCGAAAATAAGTAGTCCGAACTGGTCACTGACTCAGTTTCGAAGAAGACTATTAATTCATTAATTTGTAATTAGAATGTGGATATGCTCAAATATCGTCTCTCTGAGTCAGTTATTAGTAAGACGTTCTTTCCTGGAAAATTTCGAGTGATCGTCACCAGCTGTAGGTTCTTCTCCGTCTCTGTAAACGAAGAATAAAAAAAAGTAAAAAAAAATCGCCTCCATATGCATCTATGTATCATTTCAGCTGCTCTTGTGGAGCAAGGTATATTGGTCATAGCTGGAGAATGCTTTCGACACAGATACGAGAACACATTCCAGCATGATTCTACAAGGCATAAAGGAAGGCATTTCGAAGGTCTATTGTATAATAATACTTGGTCTACTGTCACTATGCTCCAACCCTGATCATAATTTTAAGTCCATCTATCAAATTCATGCTAACATGCCGCATTTTCTTCGTTCTGAAGACAGTGAGATACCTGGTGATTCACAAATTTCAGCAAGATCTTTGTGTACAAAGAAGAATGTACATTCCCTAATCCTGTCTTGGCGTACATATTTATTCACATATTTTTATTTTATTTATTTTGTTTATTTAGTTAATCTATGCACCTTTCCTTCATATATTACCACCATCAACATTCTCACTCCAAACTCTTTCCACTTGTCTCACTCGTCATATCAAAAATTTGTTTGCAATTTTGAATTTTATCTTATAAAATTTCACATCATGTCATGTAACGTCTTATATTATTTGCCTGCTAACCCTGTAATTACATATCCCCTTCCAACATCTATACATCCTGTGGATTCTTCTATATATGACACTACTTGAAGTATTCTGATAAATGGTGACTATCAGCGGAATCCAGCCTGTCGACTTCATCCTCTTCAGGACTCATCAAGTGAGTGTACCTGCATTGTCTAGTGAGTAGTGGTGTTCTTACTGACGCTCGAATTCAATACAAGTCATTTCCACTGCTAGACACTAACGACCATTTGACTTCAAGTTAAACAGTCAGACATCTTTGAAACATCTGGATAAGGAGACGACTTGTTAACCTGATACCGAACACACTTCTTTCCAGTCATAACCAACGGGAAACTCTTAAATGGAATTCAATATGACACTATTTGATTTGACACTTGCTTTTTAACTATGATTAATTGTAATCACTGAAGCACTGACTGACTGGTTTCAGTGTGGAACTTTGCACAAATGTGCCTCAGTTCCGGTTGACACACTCTTTCCATGTAGCACACAAAGCAAGAGAAGAGAGATTCAAAAGATATATAATAAACAGAAATATGAGGCAATCAGAATTGTGATATGGAAGAACAATATAATGTTACTGGATATTATAAATCTCAAGGAGTGAATTCATCTGCGTCAGCCGTTGATAACGATTTTGAGCCAGCCATATCATCAGTTGTCTCCAGTCTTCATTGACTCTTACCATCCCGAATACTCCAACCGGCCAGTCACAAAGTTTACACCTCCCGGTGTGGCTGGCTGACTGATTTAAACTAAGTGATTGCAAATATTTCGGTTCGTTTTCTATGTTCAAACTATTCAAATTTATTCGGGGGCTGATTAGATTAAACATGATCTTCCTGATTGCAGTAGATTGGAAAATGAGACAAACAACGGGAAATGAGGAAACAGGCATAAAATGGACTCACACAAAATACTTGGAGGATCTGGACTTCATCGATGATATATGTCTGATTTCCCACAAACACTGGAAGATATGCAAGTGAAAAGCAACAAGCTGGCAGAAGAAACATCCAGAGAGGATAGGACTTCCTTCAGGTGAACATAGAGAAACCAGAGGTAGGTGATGAAGATTCCTGGCCAACATCAACAACAACAATTAGCATAGACGGGAGGAACCTGAAAGAAACAACCTCCTTCACCTACCTACCTGGGAAGCATCGTTTCAACTACAGGCGGACGGAACTGACAAGGATATCAAAGCCAGAATAGGAAAAGTAAGACAAGCTTTCATTACTCTCAAGTCTGTGTGGAAGTCAACACCACTCAGCATGAAAATGAAAATAAGATCCGGATTTTCAACTCCAATGTGAAGTCAGTCAGTGATACTATACGGATCAGAGACGTGGCCAGCACGTCATAAAGAGCATCTCAAACAAAAATACAGACCACCATCAACAGCTATCTTCGTTCAATACTCAAGATCAGATGGCCGGCCAGAAAAGATCAGCAATAGGGATCTCTGGCAATCAGCGAACCAACACAGCAGGAGCCGATTGTGAAACAAATAGGCGGGAAGAAATGGAGGTGGATTGGCCATACTCTGAGTAAACCATCAAGTGACATCAGTAGACAAGCCATTGCTCGAGTGAAACCTGAAAGGGAAGCGGCGAGTTGGTTGTCAGTGCAAAGATGACTTGGAGGAGGTCGTGTGAAGAGGAGATGAAGGCATGTGGGTGGCAGACTTGGAGCGGGGTGAAAAAGTTGGCAGAAAACAGAAGGGAATGGAGACTCGCAGCTGAAGCCCTATGTTCCTCTAGGAATTAAAGGATATAATAAAATAATAATAATAGTATAATAATGAAATAACTGGCTACAATCGATTCAAGTAAGTTTTGGCTTATTTTATCTGTAAACTGCCTTTCTTCCGGTCAAATCCATATAAATGTCATACATCCTGTAAACAGAAGTGATGAATAACAACAACTGGTGTTGTAAAGTAACAACACATCATGATCCAAGCAAAAATTAGACCTTTTCGTCTAGTTTCATTGATGTATGCCTACGATATATGCTGCACAAGGTCATTCAGATACTTTATTGATTATTTCGTGAAGTCTGTCTATCTATCTAACATGAAAACAATTCAAAATGTGTACCTCATATGTTTATTGTAGCCGCCAAAATGACAATATAATAGAGAAGTTAGAAAAATTATGTCAAGTTGGTTTATTTCTCACCGATATCTGACGTTTGCCTAGAAATAAATAATCAAGTCCATGAACTTTGAATTGATGTCCATATTTGTTTGTTGATTTCATTGTAACTTTAAACTGGAATAAAACGGTAATATAAATAAATTTCATATGATGATATCGATTTGTGTGGAGTTAAGTTACCAGTCTTGTGAATATATTTTATTCGTGTGAAGTAAAAACTTTACGGAAAAAATCGAACAGTAGTTGGTTTTGTTCAAACAAAGCAAGAACTACAGTGTTTTTTGTTCAGAATAAAGTGGTTGCCTTCTCGTCAGCTGCCTACAAGCCAAAGACATTATTATTGCACACTATAAATGCGTGCAATAATGAAAGTCATGCTTCAGCACTTACTCAGATTATCCAATGATGCACACACCAATATTAAATTTATTATGGAACATGAAAGTGACGGAAAGTTTCACTTCTTCGACATTGCTATGCAACGTCTAGAAGGCGGTAGGTAGTCTTCAGAAGTCAATTTATCGAAAGGCTACATAGAAATGACAATACTTATATTTTAATAGCTTTTGTCCAAATAGCTTTAAACGCGGACTAGTCAATACTCTGTACTTGAGAGCGAGGAGAATATGCTCTATATAGAGAAATTAAAGGAAGAATTTGAGTTTCTTGAAAAGATATTGAAGAGCAATGGGTACCCTCAAAGGGAAGTATGGAAGATCTGAAGTCACATATGTAAAACCAATCACAGTGGGTAAAAAGCCAATCTACATTCAACTTGATTATAAGGGTGAAAACATTGCAGCAATGATCAACAGAATGCCGAGTACGTCATTAGCCGAAGACAATCCTCCAGCTAAGCTCGTCCCCGTCTATCGAACAACTTGCTCTTTGGTGCAATCAAAAATCGATAGATATCCTTCTCCTGTTAACAACTCCAACTGCTTATACAAATTTACATGTATCTGCGGGAGCAGTTACATTGGAAGGACAGAATGAAGAAGGGCATATCTACGATTTTCTGAACATGTACCGAAAAGCCGATATCTAAGGGGAACAAATACTTTAAACAGTGCTATTACCATGCATCTCCTCGACAGGGGTCGGTCATGAGGTGGATGTCGAAAAGTTGTTCAAAATTATCAATAAGCAAAAGAGTTCAATTCTCCTCAAGTTTTTGCCGAAGCCATTTCCATCAAGCGCCTGAAACCTGATTCATGCGTCCAAAAAGAAGCGGTTATCAGTCTTTCTTTGCCCAACCTGGTAACTGGATATTTTCACCTCTTTCATCTGAATGAGTAGTGCTGAAAAGTTTTTGTTGTGTATGATTATTATTGTTCGGTAAAGTGTTTGATATTATATATAAATATGTATGCATATATTAATCGATTGGTTTTTGTTTATAATGAACTCTGTGCAAGTATGTTAAAATTGTTTCTGTAGATATGCTTAATAATGACTGTGGCCTGCAAGCAGCTGACGAGAAGGCAACAAAATAAAAGATGGTACCACTTTATTCTCCTAAAACTGTAGTTCTTGCCTTGTTCAAATTCATTCAGGGGAATAAAAATAGTTGGTTTGTCGGCTGGTTGAATTCTGATTGTTGAAGAAGAAAGCAGTATACTGCATCTCACGGGAAGTCATCCAAAGCATTACTTACTGAGTCTGGTGTCCCTCAGTGTGCCGTTCTTTTTCCTCTTATGTTTTCTTTCTTCTTGCATGACTTGCCTCACTCTGATGATGAAATGAAGTTTGTTAAGTATACGAATGGTCTGACTGTTTCAAGGCCTGTTAACTCTCTGTAAGATTGTACTATGATGAACAACTTTCTATCAGGAGTCAGCAAATGGTCTATAATTAATTCTTTCCAAGTGTCAGACTGTTAATTTTACTTTCCGATGTCGAAGAAAGTTAAATGAAGCTGTTATTTCCTATGACCATTGTAAAATTATTGATAGTGACATAGAAATCAAGTCTGAAGTCAAATATCTTGGAGTAATTCTTTTTTCTGATATATCCTCGTCTTCGCGATTTCGAAAAAAATATCCTGTGATGATGAAATTAACTTAGTTGCATATGTGAATGATCTAACTGTTTGAAGGACCGTGAATTTCCAGTTAGACTACACTAAGATGAACAGCTTTCTATCAGGATTCAGCAAATGGTCTTCGTCTAATAGTCTTAAACTAAATCCTTCCAAATGTCAGACTGTTAATTTCTGTTTCCGATGTCTTTTGTAAAATGGATGATAGTGATATAGAAGCCAAGTCTGATGTCAAATATCTTGGAATAATTATCTCTTCTGGTGTTCGCGTATGTTAGCGATTTCTAAAAATATATTCCGTCTGACTTTTTACATTAAGAAGTTGAGGCACTCGGGCATAACTCAACTCCTCCTGCTCTAACAGTTTGTCAACTCGTGCATCTTACCTATTCTTCTTGGCTGTTCATCCTTATTCTATCCTGGATTGCTTAAAAAAGACTATGTCATACTTCGCAGAACTGTGAAGACTGTCAGTAGGGCGAGTGGTGACATTCCATATTGGGCCATATCGTTGACATTGTCACTGATACGCACTTGATGTCACATGCAACAAATTTGCTAAAGGAATTTTGTCAGACGGTGAACATCCACCACAGCATCCGTAGCTTTCACCTTGTGTCTCCCCAGGTAAAAAACAAGAAGTCATTTCAAAGGATTTTATGAGCTTATGTCTGAGAATAAAAATTCCACGCTACGATATTTGGCAACATGTATTTTACATGATGAAAATAATGTTAGGGACGAACTAACTGACTAACATTCTTTGCACTAGTAAATAAACCATTTTCTCCATCCTTTACTCTACACCAAGCTTTATTGTTATTATTATTCTTATATTTATAATACTCTTATTTTTGGTTGCGTTTATTTTCTCATAAGTGTAAACATCATTTAAGCTCTCTAGTAATTGTTATTTTTCCCCTCACCATACTATATCAAGAGAACATGAGATTTTATACTCTAAAATATGCTAAAATTTCCAAACTCTATCGACAATATTGTACTGTTAAGGCTAATACTTGATATGCGAAATTCGCCTTACCAAACTCTCTAACTAGATGGTTATTAAATATTCTCAAACCTTTGCATGAGAAGATGTATTTGAATTCGTAGACAAAATCAAAGATATATTATTATCAAGGATGAAACTATGGATATCTTTCGACATAACATCATCATTCACAAATGTACCACCTCTAGTAGAAACGGTTAACTATATATGTGAACAAGTGTATAACAAGTCGATAATTGATGAAGAAGCCCAAGTTAGAACAAAACAGTTGTTCAGGTACTCTCTGGTTTTCTGGTGGTTCTACTGCTGATGTGAACTCGTAACAAAATCTGTAACCAATTAGAATCCCAGTGAACCGATGCTTGAAAAGTCTTATTTTCTCTAGTAGATGAATAACCTTCTGATTTCAACCCCAAATGCTTTTAGAAAAGAGAAAGATTGAGAGAGCGAAGAAATATTTACTTTTCAATTAGATCCTCATCTCTCTCTGGCTCTACTCTAATATACACACATGTATAGCACTTTTTATTACAATACACAACAATTTACCAATCAAGTGACACTGATATGTTTGTTAACAATAATTAGTCAGACGACTGCTTCAATGAGGAGCTTAAAATTATTAGAGAATTACTTGGGAAAAATGGTTATCCAGATAAGTTTATTGAGAAAAAATATGAATTCATCACCCAGAACAGTCACTATGGCAACAGTTCTGAAAAAACCACTGTTCATAAAACTTCAGTTCCTCGGTGACAACATCAGCGAAATAATAACACAACGACTGAAGAATTCAGTTAGAAGAGCTTATTATGCAGCAGAGGTACGTTGTCTCTCCACAACCACACCTATTCTATGTTCGGGTAATAAGGATAAACTAGCTAAATTTGCCTCCTCTTCTATGTGTATCTACCAGTTTGACTGCAGTTGCGGAGCCAGCTACATCGGGCAAACAATTAGTCAGGTTCATCATCGTATTTCTGAACATCATCCGGCATGGTTAAGCAAGGGACAAACAAGATCTATTCGTAGCTCTATTTTAGCCTACGTTGTAGATAGTGAGCATAAAATTGACGTTAATACTGCATTTAAAGTTATTTATCGCATTCCTACTAATCTTAATTTTGCTTTATGAGTTCGTCTTCTAAATACGACAGCTGAAGCCATAGGAATCCACTTGAAGAAGCGAAACCTGTGCCTGTTCAGAAAAAATTTGTACAGCCACTTTCCTTACTTTGGCTATCGTTAGATGATTGTATAAACTGGACTACTTCATCCCCCTACCTCTAAAATATTTTTTCTTTTTAAAAAACTATAAAAACTATTATTATCCAAATTATTTTATTTTTCTGACTACTTTATCATTAATTACGTGTTATCCTTGTAAAAATTATTTTAATCTTATGACCACTTCAACTTTATGAATTAAAAGTCAATCTGAACGAAGAATATTCTTTTCAATAACTTCAACTTTAGTTACAAATTATCATTGTCCAAATTGTTTTATTTTCTTTAACAATCTGTTACGTAATCAACCTGTGCACACGCTTATTTCTTAATTGCTCTTCATTTTCCAAAATTATGCATTATGCAATCCACTTGTTGTAACCATTTCCACCTTTTAATAATATATATTAATTTTCTTCTTTAATTATCACCCCAATGACATTTTGACACTGACTAATTATTGTTAACAAACATATCAGTGTCACTTGATTGGTAAATTGTTGTGTATTGTAATAAAAAGTGCTATACATGTGTGTATATTAGAGTAGAGCCAGAGAGAGATGAGGATCTAATTGAAAACTAAATATTTCTTCGCTCGCTGAATCTTTCTGTTTTCTAAATGCCTAAATGGGGATATTTTCCAAATGCTTTTGTCAATTCCCATACACTTAGAGTATGTGAGTCAACAGGAAGGACTGAGGTGGGGGGGGGTGGAAGAGCATCTTGCATCTATATGCCTAACAATCCTTATACAGATAGGCAAGAAATTATTTTCAAGTGAAATCGTTAATCATCTGATTGTGAAGGGGCATGTAGTTGAAATCAGCAAAAACC